CATCAAAGTAGCAGAAAGTCGAGGAAGGGGAGCAGAAGAGTGATTCACAGTTATAAAAGAGGCAGACAGACACAAAGGTAGAGGCTGTTGAAGGGGTTGAATATGACAAGCAGTTGGGCTATGGTAGTTTGAAGTCAGAAGTCAACTGCCGGTTAATTGACTTTTTTTGCCGTATGAGTATACGTTACCCAGGGTGCACCACGTGGAGGTAAGTCTATCGCACACTCCTAATGGTTTAATATAAAATAATTATTTCATTTGCCTTTTATGCTAGGGCAATGGGAGTAAACAGGCGTAGTACGTGTTGTGCATATATTAGCTCAAAGCACTTACTTAATCGAATTGTGGAGTTCGTTAGATGGGGGAAAACTGAATATTTTTTTATGGAAAACGACAACAAACCTTAGTTTCAACTCAATGAATTTTAAGCCAAGTTCATACCTGGGTGCATTAAGTATAAAATCCTAATATTTGATTCCTATTTTATCCAATTTACTTGATATATTGACTCGAACTGAAGTCTAGGCTACCAGTAGGCCACTCATTACACAATGAAATGTTTATTTTCGAACCTGAGGAAAATAGTGTGCAAAAGGTAACCAAAAATCGAACGTAGTAGGACTCTTGATGGATAGCTTTTAATTTTTAATTTATGCTCGTTTCATTCGCCTTAATCCTTGCTTAAAATGTTTTACCCAATATTATGCGTTTTTTACTAATGAAAGTAAGAAAATTGATTGTTTGTGATAGACAAGTTTCTACTGAAGAAACACCATATTAGCGCAAAGTTTAATTCAACTTCAGTCCTCTAATAAAAATGTATAAAGCAGTTAAGGAGCTGCTTATTAAATGGCGCTCAAAATTTCATTAATTAAGGGCCCTATCTTAAACATTGTTGAAAGCGTTATTACGTTTGCATGCGTGCGTAAATCGAGAACAAAGAGTGAACGTCACACCTTTGAGCCCAAAGAGCACTTGCACATTGAATATCGATTTGCACTCGCCTCTGTCTTGCCGTGTTACAGGTGTTTCATCGGCATCAACTACAAACCAGCTCCATTCCAACACATGTTCTCTTTTTTTCACTTCTAAAGGAACTCGCTTCAATACTTTTTGGAAATCACTTTCCCTGGTTAATTTGTATGCTTTCCAGCCCCCCTTCTATTACCATTTCGGGTTTTTATGGCCTCGAAAACTGAGCGTTTGCCAAAATTCGTGATTTAAAGAATGCTATGCTTGATTTAACTAAATAGTAACTCGAGTTATTTGTTTTTTTTATCTGTAAAATTGGTTGTCGTAAACATACACGAGCTTTGGTTTCCTGTTCACTAAAATCGTCAAACAGCCTGATCCAAACGCTTTTGAACTAACTTACAATTATATTTTTCTCGCCTACATTTTTCAAAAATAAAACTCCCCTGGGAAGGGAAGGTATAAAAGAAAATTTAATAATTATGGGATTTGGTTTAAGGAACACAACGCTAACATGGTTGAACCAAAGAATCCCTTACACGCTTGAAAATTCTAGAACGTGCTGCATGATGTTTATCGTACCAGTGTGATCTCTCAGAAAATCAATAATTATGGAATGGCCAACGTAGCCAAAATTACACCAAATGACTAAGCTCAGAGTCAGTAACACAGCCCAGATAAACGTGTTTCTCCTCATATGTCTGTTTCCACTCTACCGTCGAGACAGGACAGCTAAACCCGGGACCCACTCTCTCTTGCCATTGAGACTACTGAGCATAAGTAGTCACGGCTTATTAGTGTAGAAATCCACTTCAGATGCAATATGTGGCATTATTTCGGATATTTTGTGCACCCATCAAGTCAAGTGCGAAATGACGTCATTTTAAAGAACTCCTCCTTCTGCAGAATTTTTTGGCTACGACTTTCTGACATTATTTTATTTTCTCAAAAATGAGTACTTTAAACAATTCTATTCGATCGGAATTTAATTTAAACATCGAATGCCAAGGCAATGATCATGAAATTTAATTTTGATTACCAATAGCCAACCGCAATGGTTTGATCTGACCAATAGTGAGGGTGGTATAATTTGATCTTCTTACCATGGGGTTCTAGGTTGCCACTAACAGTACCATATGAGCGTTGAAAGGCGCTTTTTCTAATGGGCTTATTTTCTTGTCTTAGTCGATTACATTTCAATTGGGCGAAGTCAGATGATTTTCCCAAAAAGTTGATATTTATTCTTCAGAAAGATAGTTTAATTTACTGATTGTTGAATAATTTCCAATCCTAAGACACACGGAAAGTGCAAATAACAATTTAGATATTAAATGATATAGATTGATTTAACAGTCATGAAAAAAATGATTTGATAAATATCGTTGACTTTAAGGTTAACTAGTTTCTGGGGGGAGAGACGAGGTATTTATTGCAACAGAAAGTACTACTTTACTTCCACAACCACAGACTAGATATAAGCAAAAGATTCATATGAACATTTATATTAGTAGCATTTAGTGACGTACGGAAAGCTATCGAAAAATAATTACTCTCAATTCCGAGCAAAGAGTTTCTCTTCAACGTATTTCCTTCTATTTATGCCATTCAATTCGTTGGGATTGTTTTCATCTTCAATTTCCTCCACAATATCATTTTTGCAAGTATGGTATACAAACACAGCACAGTAGAGATGAGAGAAAACGATATTTCCCGACCTTAATCGATCGCTGAAATTGAGGACAGTTGAGCTAAATTCACACATTCTTACTTGATAAACTCTACTGCGTAGAGTATCATTGCTTTTTCTGGTCCAATACCAATGGAACAGAGGATTGTGGTTGCAACGACCATACTGGAGCTTGGAATATTGGGGAGAGCAGTCACATAGACAGTGGCGAGAATGCTAGAAGCAGACAAAAAGTAGGAAATAAGTCATATTTTAGTTCGTTAATAGTCTTGAACCCAAATTCTAGACGCAATGAGGATAGTGCTAGTTTTAGACCATAGTCTCTCTTTGCCCGCCTTCATTGGCCAGTAGACGGAGGCTAAAGAAAGTAGTAGTATTTTTGTCACACTAATTGACTATCCCACTTTTGTAATTACATAAACTTCGACCACTCCAGCCTAGTTCTCACTCACTTACACTCTCCTGTAAGGGTTTTTTGATAACTTCGACTTTAGAAAATGGTGTGTTCATTGCCACGTGTTCGTACTAGTAAAATGCCGAAAAGGAAATGTAGCATGAACTTACACAACGATGACCATTTTGCCAACATTCAGAGAGATATTGGAATCCAGAGCTGTGTAGAAGACTGCAGAAACAATAAAAATGGCCGACGCGTCACTCTTCATTGTGCCAGCAATTGGGAGAACAAATCGTGAAACCGACTTTGGCATGCCATACTTGTCACAACTGTCGTAGCACTTCGGCAGAGAGATGATTCTGTTTTTGCAGAAAAGAAAAAGAAACTTGATGTTAACGTGTTCATCTAGTTCACGATATGCATTGGAGCTAGTTTTTCAGTAACTACTTATTGCTAACCACAGGTCGTCATCCACATCACTGGACGTTCATCGGTGAGCTTTGATTTTGTGACCCCGAGATTGCTAGGCATGTGACTCGAATTCATTGGGACATAAACTTAAGACCTTTAGACAGCCCACTACCATGGGGATCTAATAGGCGTGAATAAGTGCCATTTCTTAAAATTACAAAACTTTAATAGTTTGTTTGAGTGCACAGCCAATAATTTTGGCCAAAGCACAATGCCAACTTTGTGGTATCATGGGGCCCAGCGGTTTACGAAGCTGAGCTCGCTTGTTAACGCAATAATGCGAATTATTCCTAAACCACGGATCATAGTATTAAAAGAATTGGTTAATTCAATTCAGTTTTAAATAGGCGACCGGCTTCTCAATCGTTCCGCTGACAAACAAGGCAACTTTGACTTACGCGGAAGTGGCGGCAAAGCCAATGAAGTAGGGAGGAAGCGAGTGACGAAACATCTTGAGGGGATTTTCACCGAGACAGACCGTCAAAAGCATCAGGAGAATTAGATGTGTGACTTGACCAATGAAGTTAACTCCAACAAACAGTGCCAGAGTGCTGAAAGTTTTGCCAAGATCTTCCTCAACATTCGCAACCGAACTTATGACCATAAACATTACACAAACGGGAGTGGTTCTAAAAAAGGCAGCAAATGTAATTTAAAAAAAATGCGGAGCCCAGTGCCCCAAAATTTCCAAATAAATATACTTACAGAAGGAATTTCGTCATCAAATACATAACCACATCTCCCAACGATGAGAAAAAGTCCTTGAACACAGCTCCTTTAGCTTTCGTTGCATTCGCTGCAATACCGAAAGCAATGGAGCAGAATAGCACACCTAAGATTAAATAAAATCAATAAGCCAAAATGATCTCTCGCGATTAAATTTCAAATTTGAGCCGAATTAACCAATCATATTAGTTCCGGGAATTTCCTCCGCGGTATAGGTCTTTTCCCCATTTTTTACAATCGGTTTTGATATATTTGTCATTGTCTTTATTTAAAGAAGAAAGAAGCGCATTATAGAAATGAACATTGAGTGCAAATTAGTAAGAATTTTAGGTATTTAACTTTATTACCTGACTTATAGTCATGCTAATCAAGTTCTCTGGGAATATATTTCTAAAGTAGAAATTTATCAATTTATTAATGAAGTTATAAGGTAATGAGAAAGTTGGAAACTCACAGAAGCAGATCACGGAAGATGTATCCCAACTTGTCAGGATCATTCCCTGATGAACGAAGTGAGGTCGAACCATTTAAGAATGAATCTAAAAATATCATTGAGGAAATTAAATTTATAAATCGGAAGGGAGAAGGCCAACCTCTCTTGGTTTTCATTTATTTATTCTTAAATAGATGTTTATTACAATAAAAATCAACGAAGAAGTCACATAAACAAAGGCCTACTTTGATTGAACTTCAAATAAAATTGCAAAAATTAAAACAAAAACGAACTTACTAGGTAATATAAGCAACCCGAAAGTAAGTCCAATAAGTGACGATACGAGATTGCAAATTATTAAACAAGCTATCGTAATGCTGCACATTTTGCTATTTCCTTTTGGGTTCAAGCTAGCTAGAACTGAAAGCGACTGGAGGAGTTAGATTGTGGTTCAAATAATTTAATTTTCTAAAGGGAAATAATTATTAACTTACCAGTGATAATGTTAGCAACTATCATAGGTAATATAGTAAGTTGTAGGATACGAAAATAGATTTTTCCAGGCACATCTAAAGCGAAGATAGAGACTGAGATAGAGAGAGTATAGATGGAATACATACCGAGCCAAATCTTCGCTTGATGGGAAAGATGCGTCTTTTGTAGGACGAAACCAACCCCGAAGCCAATAATGACTCCCAAAATAGTTGACAGCATAAACCAATTGTCAATAAGAAATTGAAGGAATTTAGTGAAGCAACTGTGTCTCAAACGAGGTGGAGACGAGCTTTCGACTTCATAGGTATTTTCTAGAGAGTACGATCTATTCCGCATCATTTTGCTATTCCTTCTAAGAAAAGAGAATAAATCAATGGTAAGTATTAGACACCGCTGTAGAGACCCATCAAGGTCACTAGTTTAGCTGTCACGGGCGGAAAGAAAAAGCAGAGAAATGTGTTACTTTAAATTCTCAAACACCCAAATAGTAAATAAAATATTAAATTAAGAGCTAATTTCAATGCTTACGCTTTTTAGTGTATTCGAAAATGGCTTCGATTTAAATTGTTTTGGATGAGATTTGTCAATTCATAAAATGCCACGAATTTTACCACGTGTTTCAAATCGATCGAATCCGGGTAAAAACATTAATTTAGTGTTATGTGAAAAATTTGGTCTAAAAAGTATTATTTATTTATATCAACTGGCAGGAGTTTTGATGGTTATCATTAGCCCTTTAGTTGACTCCAGGCTTCACAGAGGGGAGGAACATCAAAGTGTAAAAATTTCAAGAGGGGGGCGGGGAACAGAAGAGTGTTTCAAAGACGAAGGCTGAAAATTTAGAAATAATGTGATGTAGTACTGTGGAAGTGGTCGAATATGTCATACAGAGAAGTGGTCGAATATGCCATACAGTGTGGTCATGGTAGTTATCGAATATGTTGGACACAATGCTCTATTCAAAAACGAGAAAATACGAGGTAGTTCAACTATAGAAATTGATGGATAGAAATAAGAGGAATCGTCAATGTCACATGATTTCATGTGTGCCTCCCGCAGTCACTCAGGGGGGAGTTTCTTTAATAATAGATAAAAATGAGTTTGATTTTATTGTAGCATGACATGACATTCCAAGTTCAGAACTCCTGAATTAAGGCCTTTATTTCTAGTCTAGACAATTAGTTCAGACCATTAATATCTAATCTCGGGGTCATTATCTCTTGCTGGAATTAACTAAAATGATCCTTAAGAAGTGACTATCATTGTTTTTATTTCAAACTTCAACATTTAAAAAAAACATTTTCAGTAATAAAAAAATTCATTTCATAAAATTTTTCAGGATTAATTACCTTCGTAAGGTCCCTAGAATGTGGAAAGCGAAAACGGACCACAACCAAATTTTTGTTGACTTTATTGGTAGGAGACAATTTTACAAGCTTCAACTGAATTTGTGAAGAAATAATAACACACATTCCATTATTGGTACTATAAACCTCCTCCTTTGGTGCCATTCCCAAATGACGTTTCTAGCTATGGTCTATTTGTTTTCTAGTCTTCTAGGTTCAATTTAAGTTTCGTTAAGTGCTTGAGCTCTTTTCGAGGGTTACCTTCGGTGTACATCAATAGCGCCAACTTGGAAGCTGCCAAGGGATTTTTGTCTTTACTTTCTTCTCAGCCACTTCTTGTCTTGTAGCTAGAAGCCTTATAGGAGGCTTAGGCAAATATTAATTACACGCCAGTGAAAAAAAAGTAATTTTATTCCTATTGCAATCACGTGTTGAGTTAGAACCTGATGAAATCGCCACATCATGTTTCACCCACTATCACAATCTACTCATGACCTACTGACCAATACTTTCTGTGGCAATTAGTCGATTGATCTTATACACCTCGGAGTGCCAACATTGACACGCTTTTTGGTTACTGACTTTCCTTCATCACGCGCTTTCATGGATTCTTATTGCAAACCTTATCTTCCTTTCAGCATTATATCCACAACCAATTCTTCGTCTTTCAACTTCCCTCTTCAAACCCCCTTAGTAGTAAGAAAACCAGGAGGTTTGGATAGCATTTGGACTTAGT